TTCATTTCTACGCTTGCCCAGTTTAACATGAAATTTAATGTCTGTTTGTTGTTCTAACTCAAGCTCCAACATTCTTTTTTTTTTTTGAGACAGAGCCTCAAGCTGTCACACTGGGTAGAGTGCCATGGAGTCACAGCTCATAGAGACCTCCAACTCCTAGGTTTAAGTGATTCTCTTGCCTCAGCCTCCCAAAAAACAGCCCGGCTGTTTTTTGGTTGTAGTTGTCATTGTTTGGCAGGCCCAGGCTGGATTCAAACCCGCCAGCTCTGGTATATGTGGCTGGCACCTTAGCCACTTGAGCTACAGGCGCCGAGTCATCCTTTACCTTTTAGTAAAGAAAAAAGTCATTGGGGGCCATATCAGGTGAATAGGGTGTTCCAATATACTTATTTATTTACTGGCTAAAAACTCCCTCACAGTGTCATGTGAGCTGGTGCATTGTGGTGATACAAGAGCCATGACTTGGCAAAACGTTCAGGTCATTTTGGCCTTTTTCACACAGTCTTTTCAGCACTTCCAAAAGGTAAACTGAACTGTCCAGTTGGTACAAATTCATAATGAACAAAAAAGGTTATCAACATCGTTTTGATTCTTGATTTGGACTGATGGAACTTCTTTGGTTGTGGAGAACTAGCTGCTTTCCATTGTGCACTCTGACTCTTTCTTTGAGGGTCATATTGGTAGATCCATGTTTCATCACCAGTGATAACATCATCTTGCCTCTACAAAAGATCTTGGCAAACTTCGATTATCTTGTCCTTTTGTTCATCAGTGAGCTTCTTTGGGACCATTTCTGCACACACCTTTCTCATGCCAAGATTTTCCTATTTGTGCTGGGCATGGTGGCTCACGCCTGTAATCCCAGCACTGTCGGAGGCTGAGGAGGGAGAATCGCTGGAGCTCAGGAATTCTAGACTGGCCTGAGCAAAACTGGGACCCCGACTCATGGAAAAAATGGAAAAACCCAGCCGGGCGCCGCGGCGAGCGCCTGTAATCCCAGCAGCTTCGGGAGGCTGAGGCAAGAGACTCGCTTGAGCCCAGGAGCTGGAGGTTGCTGTGAACGTGATGCCATGGCACTCTACCCAGGGGGATAGCTTGAGGCTCCGTCTCAAAGTTTTTATGTAAGTAAAAAAATAGCAAAGTCAAAAATTGTTACATGAAAAATGTAAATACATGTGGACAAACTAAGGATTTTTAAAAGAGTTTATATGAATAGAAGAGTGACATATAGATTATTTTCTTTAAAATTTTGCTATTAGTATATTCATAATAAATAAAAAATAGGGGAACATCTACTGAAATGGCATTTATAGAGCTTGGAAAGATGGATAAAAGTAGCAAGATGCACGTAAGAAAAGACAAAAGATGCCAAAAAATCTGAAAATTATGAGCATTGTTACTATTATGTGTATGAGTTCTGACAATTTAGTTCGTGAACTCATCCTAAAAAAAAATGCTACATACCTCATTGCTGAATATCATTGTGGTCACCTTCAAAGTACTCCCCTTGGGAAGTTAGGCACCTAGTGCACCCTTCAAAGCAATTCTGAAACTCTTTTTCTGGAATGGCCATCGGACTGTCATCATGTTACCCATGATGTCCTGAATGTCATCAAATGTCTTCCTTTCAATATTTCCTTTATTTTTTTTTTTTTTTTTTTTTTTTTGAGACAGAGCCTCAAGCTGTCACACTGGGTAGAGTGCCATGGAGTCACAGCTCATAGAGACCTCCA